GGAGCCCTGCAGCGCGCGCTGCTGCAGCCCACGCTTGGGGCAGAGCTGCCACCGGGGTCTGCACGAGCGGAAAGCACAGAGCAGTCCAAACCCAGCCTGCCCTGCCGCCAGGGACTGCAGATGTAAATGCACTGTGAGCGGACACATCTGCAACCTGACATTCAGACTGCTTCACAACAACATTTACCATAGCGCGTCCTTAAAAAAAGGGCAGGGAGCAGCTGGGGTAACCTGCGCTATTTTCCTTCTCACTTCAGTGGGAACCATTGAGGAGAAATGAAACTCCTTTCCACAGGTACCAGCTCCCTCTGATCTGCAAATGAAAAAGATCCATCTCAGGAAAACCTAGCCTTTCCCCAAGCTTCAGAGATCAACGTAGCAGATGTTCCTTGAGGCAAGGGCTCTGTGAGGATATCTGAGAGGGTTCAGTAAGGATGGATATCCAGTTCTCAGGACACAGCCCGTATAACCTCCAAGGAGCATAAGCCCCCGTCACATGCTCCTTCCCATTCTGGGAAGCGCAACCTGCTCAGGCCAAGGCCGAGCAGGCGACTAACAAACAGGACACAGAGCAGGGCTGTTCCCTCGCTGCAGGCCAGCGCGCGGCTTGGAGCACGCTCTGCTCCCAGCCGGCCGGATGCCATTCCTGCCTCTGGCCACCTAACCACATCCCTTCACTTTCCCGCTGTGCGGAGCGTCCCCCGCACAGGTGGCCGGGCACCTGGGGCCCGTGGTGCAGCCGCGACCACGCGGAAGGCTGCTTCTCCTGCGCGTGATTGCCTCCCAACGCAGACACTTCAGGGCTTGCCCCTGAGAAGTAAACACTAATTTCAACCCCACCCTTTCCTGCCCGGGGCTGCGAGGTGAGGGGATCCTAAATGCACACTGTGTTCGTGGGCACGGGGTGTGGGACAGGAACCAGCCCTCGTAAAATAGCGCGGACTGAACCCATTGCCCTTTGCCTGCCAAATCAAACAGAGCTGATGTAAAGTTAATACTAATGACAACAGCTTGGCTGCTGGCGAGGGTTGGGTAAGCAGCTGGTTTCCAGTTTGCTGCTCTCAGCAGATCAAGGCAAGAACAGGCACGGGGAGTTCCCACCCCCAGGTGCCGATGCCATGCGTGAGGCTCAGGCCTCCCTCCTTTCCCATCTGTCAGCAGCGCTTGTGCAACCCATGGTGCGAACACAGTGCCGGGATTTGAGGGAAGCCCCTGACCTGGTGACCCACCCAGCGGGCCGGGATGCTCCAAGAGAAGCCGTGGGTGGGTCTCCCTGCCAGCGCCTGCCGCCTGACGGGGACCGGCCCTCCCTCCCGGGTGTTTCGCACAGGAGGGCTCTGGCTCCAGTGGTGCGGCTGTATGAGGGAGGGAGCTGATGTCAGAGGGAAAACCACCCCCCAGCAGCCTCAGGCAAGGGAACAGGCAGCGCCGCGGGCGGAGGCGGAGCGCCCAGACCTTGGCCGGCTGA